AACAGCACTGTCTGAAGAGGGAGGAAAGGGGTAGCATTTAATGCCATGTTCTTTCCTGGTTGTACAGATGCTGTTCAGAGAGAGATTGAAACGTCAAGTTCAAGAGAAGAAATGCAATCTGTGCAACAAAAGGAATCAGGTGCACTGGGCTGACGGTGGTGAAATTGAGCCTAGGCATAATAGGGATGATTTTATAGTAATGGTATCAGTGATAATTATATTCATTCATCTTTTTTTAATCCTGAAGGGGGATGTGTGCAGGCTTGAATGGTAACTGAACAGATACCCTTATTCAGGAGTTAGAGTTCCACTGTGAAGCAGACTGTTATACAGAAGATTGGGTTTATCAGGATAATTTACATATTACAGTAAAAAGATGTTGATCTCTGTCCCTGCTCAGTCCAGCATGTGTAGATATGCTGAATGTTGTGTAGCTGAGCCAGAGTCTCTAATAGCTGTAGTTTATCAGCTTAGATGAAATTTGCCTGAGAGGCACTCTTGCCGTTTCACAGTTAGTCCAAACAAAATGATGAGCAAGTTGCAGGGTGACTTCCTAAGATGACTGGACTGGCACTCCAGAGCTGTTACAGTACTAACAGTTTGGGCTTTATTTTTTTTTCTTTTTTTGGTAAAGATGAGTCTCGGATGAGCACAGAAGAACAGCTCCGACGCCTGCAAGAGGAAAGGATGTGCAAAGTGTGCATGGACAGAGATGTGTCTGTTGTGTTTGTTCCTTGTGGCCACCTGGTAGCCTGTGGAGATTGTGCCCTCAATTTGAGATTGTGTCCTATCTGCAGAGCGGTCATCCGGGGAAGTGTGAGGACTTTCATGTCCTGAACCATGATGTGACTAAGGGGAGAGATAATGCAACTATACAACTCGTTCATGCCACAGCAGAGGAAGAAAATAAGTAAATAGTTTGATGCTGGAGCGGTCTTATTTGCGGGGTAGCTTGGCGTAAGTGTAGAAAAACTTACTACATGTGCCTTCTATGCACAGTGTTTCTAGTAAGGGTTGCTGGTTTGCTGTACTCTTGCTGATCTTGCTGTAGGACTGCTCCAGGAAAAACTCTGCTAGTTTCTTTTGTCCTCCAAAAAGAGGCTTTTGTTGACAGAGATTCTCCTTCTCCAAATTCTTGCATTCTCAAATGAATCCCTGCTCTGTGTTGAAATCAAGGGCTGTTTTCAGTAGACTGTCTCTGGTTCTCTTTCTCTCATTTAGCAGTTGTTCAGAGATTATTCTGCTAGGGCTGATGGCTTCCTTCAGTAAGTCTGAGTCAAAATGGGAGTATTTTTATACAAAATGCTTTCTGTTGAGATGAGAATACTCAGCAGCCATGTATTGTGGGGGGAAGGAGAATCTAGCTTTTTCTTCTGAGCTCTATGCTGTCTTCCACCTCCCCCTTGTTGAATTTTCCACAATTGGCAGAATGTTTCAGTAATACTCATATCAACATGACTGAGAAGCCTGGCCTGTTGTAGGGTCTCCAGCCTCTTTACTCTCAGCTGACCTCCCTAGACAGAAGGTGAAAGGGTCTTTGATAGTCAGGGTCACTAGATGATCTCATGGAAGCTTCTGACAGAGCCTCTTCCCTGGCTGTTTGGTACCATCCTACTAGAAGATAACTATGGAAATTTACCTTTTTAGGCTTTCTGTTTGCTGGCTAAACTGATGATGATTATTTTAAATGGAACCTTCTATCTGTAGCCAAAAAGAGAAAGTTTTGTCAATATTATAGCTTGTTAACTGCAGGGGAAAACCAATATGTTTTTTAAAGTTAACTGTTCTTTTTCATTGAATAAAAACTTTTTCTTTTGTTTATCTTACAGAGGTATGAGTATCTGATTCTAGTATAATGCTCTACTAGGGGAGGGGGTGTGGTGGTATCCTCAGATCTTGGAGTGGGATCAGATTGTGGATCACTTGAACTTCTGTCCTTCAGTACTACATGGGCATGAGTGAGAGAAGCAACTGTTCTTACCAGCAATTGGTTTCCTTTGGAATTCACAAGACAGCATGTGGGTCCTCCAGGCTCTGTTAACTGCAAAAGAAGGGGTAAGGCTGCAGGAAGATAAGGACCCAGTACTTGAAGCTGTGTAAGTGGGGAATAATTCTGCATCTGAACTCAATGTGCAGTATTGGTACATGGCTCTTAAACACATCTGCAGAGAGTGAAGCAGTGGCTCTGCATTTGCTTCTGTTTGGTTCCAGGATTATAGGCTTGTCTCCAAGTAACTTTAAGGTGTCAGTTATCCCTGGGCCATGTAGGAGGGCAGATCTCTTCATCGTTGCCTTCAGAAGAAGGTAATATTACTGCAGCTCTTGGCAAAGATGAGAGAGATTACTAGTTGAGCAATTTAAACTTGCCAACTCTTGGAGGAATTGATGGGTCTTTGCCAGACAGCAGCTTTCATAGGGAGCAGAATTGCACCACCGTGCCAAATTAGGTGTTTTGTCTGGGTCCAAGCTGTCATTTGCTTTATTTTGCCTCTGTAAGTAACAGCAAAATCTTACAGTTTAAGTAAATGTGCTAATCTGAGGGTTTACGAGTGTAAACCAGCTCAGTGTTGGAATAGTTATTTCCTCCTAAACTTTAGCTCAGTGTGGCTGGAACATAGTCTGAGCATCAACAACGAGGCTGTAAATACGCCAGCTATTTCTGGGGCTTCTTTTATTTAGCACTTTAAAAATTGTGGCTTTTCCACATCTGGAAGAGTGGAGCATCTTTTTCTAAGGGAAGACGTCCCTTAGAAAGAGGGGACTGTTTTTTGACTAGCAGTATCTCACGGGATGCCTATCCCCAATAGAGGGCACTCCTAACCTGGACATGAGGGAACTCCCTGGAGCAAAACCTTCAGCTCCTCCATACCCTCACAGCACGCTGGAGATGGAAACGACTGCGAGTCCCTCACAGAACAGGGTCATTACCTGACCTTAGTTCTTTGAGCAGGTCTAGCACAAGCAGACCAGGAGGAAGGGTTGTCAGTGTGTGAAGGATGAATGGCTCTGGTAATGAAAACTAGAAGAGGTAATTAAGTGTGGAGTATGATCCTAGGTAGCTTGTCTTATTTTCTTTCTTCTGATTTTGTTGGGGGTGGGTGTGTGTGTGATTTATGGCAGTCATTGATAGTAAATGTTATAGGACATTTATTTTACTTCTATTAAAAGATACTTAATTACCTGTGTTCATCATAGCATAGAGTGGTAGTTAAGAAGCTACTTGGTCATCACACTTGTATTTAAATGATCTTTACCAGTGTGTATTAAAGTCAAGAGGCATGCTGTTAAGAGCATAGTTTGATGTCTCTTTAGAGTACTTGGCAAGTGGTTTTGATCAGTTTTATTAGTAAACGTGGCATCAAGGCTTGGTCAGTTTGAGAGGTATAGTGTTAAAAACCATGCAGACATCAAAATAATTCAAAGACCTCCTTCTGACTTCATACTGCCATCTAGAAGAATTCCTTCCTGAAACTGCTAGTGAAATGTTTCGGCTGTGCTGAATTTTGGTTGCTTTCGAACAAAGCCAACAAAGAATGCTGGTATCTGACGGACAGCATTTCTCTCTGAGGAGAAGAAATTGTATTAAACCAAAAAGTGTAAAGTGACTGTTTTCTGATGAGCAAAGGGAAGGCTAATTTCAAAAGCCCCAAATAAATGAAATCTTCATGGAACTATCCCATTGACTAGCAGATATGCATTCTTCCACTCCTTTTTCTGCCCCTCCAGGGAACAGCAGGTGGGCGAGTGGGAATGAGTGTAACACAGAAATGAACTGAATCAAAGAAGATGGAGAAAATGCTAAGAGACAGTGTGTGCACGCTGCTGTGCCTGCTGTCTGAATGGTGCAGCAGCTTGTGCTCCACTATGATATTTTTTATTAACTTGGTAGTGGCACAGTATTGATTAATACGGGAGGTAGTTAATGTTTTGTCAGGCAGAGCTGTTTGAAAGAGGGTTGAGCTTTTTCTCCCTCAAATGATGAAACTGGTATCAAACCAGCAACTGGCCATTGTCTGTTCTGCTCAGTCAGAAGCTTCTACTGGCTGAAAGAAGGAAAAATACCTACAGGAGACGCAACATTTTTACTTGTGGCTGATCAGACCTGAGGATGTTAGGTTGCAGCGGGTATCTGGAAGTTGCACAGAAACAAAAAATGTTCTCTTAGTGCTTATGCTTTCGGGTTTATAGAGAAGGATTTTGCTGCTTAGGTTCTTTGAAACGGAACAAAGAAAGGTGCATCATTCTGTCTTTGACTTAGCACTTAATGTTTTTATTTCTTTTTAATTCTTCCCTCACACTTCCCCTCCCTAGCTTGACTCTTCTGAAAAGCATTACTCAAAAATGCCAAGTCATCTCAAACAGATTAGGCAAGACAATAAAGAATTACAACAGCACTTGGAACGTACCAGGCAAAGAATGCCACGGATGGCTGACAAGTGCTCTTTCTCTGCTCAACACTTAACATGCTGGGAGACGTAGCTAACAAAACTGACATTGTTTTTTGTTTGCTTTTTTTTTTAATTAATTGCTTCAGCTCATTAATGCAACTTAATTACACTTATGTTCCACCTTTCCTTCAGCCCATTCCCTCCCCTCAAAACTGTCCCTTTCATCAGGATGTTGCCAGGCTTGTGCCTGGAATAAGCGTGGCTGCTTGGTGAAGAAGGCAGGTACAAAACCATCTATGATCCATGGAGAACTAGGCCTTTTCCAGTGTCCTGCGGTGGGTTTCGGCTGTGTATATGGCTACACCAGTGTTAATTGAATGTAGATGGGTAAACCCAGAGTAAGCTACAGCTGCTCTGAGAATGGCTTGGCATGTTGAAATGGGGCTAAGCTCCATGCTGAGTAAAGACTTGGTGCTTGTACTAGTTTTTAGCTGTTCAGTGTTATAGGAGTTAGGTCACAGAACACTGAAATCCAGGAGAAATGCCTACTGCTAAGGCCATGTCTAAAGAATAGAGAAAGAGGGAGGGAATCCTGGATGGAGGGAGGGGTGGGGGAAAGAAGGGAAGAGGTCTCATCTATAACTTAAGGAAAAAAAAAAAAGCCTAAATAACTGAAATGTAAATAGCCCCTGCCTGGTTCTATACAGGCAGGAAGGAGGTGAAATTGTGTTAGGGGACTGAGGCTGCTTTTGGAACGAGGGAAAGGAGAAGGGGAAGAAACTAACTACAGAACATGTGAAATGTCCCAGGGTGTTAGGCAATGCTTCCTTCTTCGTGGATCCATGGTGCAAGGAAGCAGCTCCGACTTCAACTCTGTCTCTTGAGAGAGGCTCTCGGTGAACTTGTTCAGCCTGAGGTTTCAGGCCTGTGCCATTTATGGGCTGGTACCACCAGCCTGTGGTAGGAATGGTTCGTCAGGGCACTTGGAGAATTAAAAACCAACTGCGTGGCCATTCTTCAATGTACATTCATTGCATTTGAAAAGAAGACAAGGAACAAAAAAGTGGAATGGAGTTCACCATCCTGCATTTCCTCTGCCAAAGATCCAGGCCACAGGGGATTGTTTCCTGCAGCGCCTTTGATGGTGGAGTGCAAGGTTTATCCATCCTCTGGCTCCTCTTTACTTACGCAGGCCTGTAGCAGGGGAAAAAAAGCGAAGGCAGGGCATCAGTGTGGAGCAAGTACCAAGTTGTTTACACAGGGTGTGGAAATAATGAAGACAAATTTCTTTTTTCCTGTTCTGGGCTTCTAAATATGGTTGACTACAGATGAGGAATAGGATTGAGAGCTCAGAAGTAAGGTCGTTAAGTAATCTCCAAGTCTGGAAAGAATGTGATGCAGATACCAGACCTGAATATACTGCAGTTAGACTAAGGAACAGGTATGAGCCACAGTGTTAGATCTATGTATCCTCAGCATTTGGAGCTGCATAGGATTTGGTTAGGAATTTTAAAAGCTAGGGTTCGTCTCTAGAATTAAGTAGCTTCTTGAAATTGCGGTGATGTGCTTTTTGTGTAGATGCAGCAGTATAAGCAGATCTACTTTTGCAGCCAGCAGTAAAGATGAGTGAATGTTTTCAGCTGAAACATCACCTCTTAAACATGCAGCTTCAGGTTGATCAAAACAGTTTGCAAATTCATGTTGATATTCAGTAAATTGTTTGTTTGGGAAAAAGTCTACCTAGAAAGAAAAGCAAAGCGTTTTGTTTTGTGCGTTGTTTTTTTTTTCTCTCCTCAAAACAAAGTGAGATTTTTTTTGTGTGTGTGTGTTTAAGCAAAAGTTTCCTTTGTAAAGTATTCTGGTTATCAAACAAAGTTTAGAGGAAGTTGGGGGGGAAGACGGGACGGACACGACCCAATCCTAAAGGAGTTTCCCCCCACTCTCTCCCTCAGTGTTTCAGTCTGGATTTTGCTTGTTTTGAATTGAAGAATGTTATTTGTGTGCTGGTACCTGTCAGTTGGTGTGTTGAAGAACCTACTTTCAACCTATAAGTGGATAACTGTTACATGGGGTCTAGTCCTCTAATGCTGCATGCTCACAGCTGCCTCATGCCTACGGCTAGCAGACAGTGCACCACAAAAGAATTGATTAGGGAGTATTAAAGTGAGCAATCACCAACTGGAGCCTCAGATTATTCAGTTAACCAATACCTCCTCTTGCTGCCCTGTCAATACTGAAGTCTGTGTCTGATAAAAGTCACACCCTATGTTACCATATGGCCCTTTCCACTGGTAGATCTGAGGCAAGTCAAATCAGTGAAATCTGGCTCTTAAGCTGTTAATGTAGTACTTGGGGTGCCAGATCACAGTGAGCATTACGGACTGGAGCCTCACAACTGTGCAATTCACTGCTTGGCCTTATAAATACAGTCTTAAAAGGCAGGAAGATCTATTGCTCATCTCTGCCTTTTAAATAAATAGAGGCTGCCTCCTGTCATCCTGCACATTCTTGATTTAGCACTAAATCATGTACAAAATCATGCTTTGAGACTATTCTGCGTTATAATTGAGATGGCACAGCGCTGCTTTCTGAAATAAATCCAGAGAATGATGTCAAAAGACTGAACGGATGCAGGAGGCAGGAAGCGCAGACAAATGGTGGTGATGATCTGGGCCTCCTCCCCTCTTGGCAGGTATTGCAGGGGACTTGGAGATTACAGCTTTAGTCACAAAAGTCAAAGCTGGCTTGGTTAACCCTTTCACAGTTAGGGTGCAAGAATGCTTCCTTGCCTCAAATGATGAGAATTCTGTTACTACAAGTGAACGAGAACAAAAGCAACCCGGAGCTGATGTCCTGCCCTGTGCTGCTTAAGGGGAGACAGTGGTGCAAGCAGGCTGGCCCTGAATCTGAGCTTTAGGGGATGAGAGCTCAGCCTTTCCTTCCTGAAAACTCATTGGAAATGTCCTCTTTTGGCCTCAGAAGAATAACTGGTTTTCAATAAGTGATTTATTACTTTTTGGCAAAGTACTTTGACCCAGAAACTCATGCACTGAAGACTTTTAACATACCTTCTGTCAAGATTCCCAATATATTATTATTAAATAATCAGTGCAGTGCTGTGATTGGTAAGCAGCAATGAGGTTAGGGTAATTCTATTAACGCAGTAAAACTTCCAGAACAATTGGAACAATCTTTTCATGATAATTTGAGTCTCTTTTACTTAAGCTTGTGACTTGAAATAGGAACTACCACCACCAAGCCCCCCTGGAGTCAATGAAATGTAGAACAAAAGCAGCCAGGGAACCTGAAATAGAAATAACTGCATTTATAGAATATCATTGTTGCTGTGTAAGTGCTGGAGGTGCTAATTAAGATGAAGCATACTTAAATCACGCCTTTGTAGGCAACAATACAAAACCGTTGGTTGATTTTTGTTGTTGTTGGCTTTTTTTTTTTTTAAAGAAAAACAGCATCCGACTTGACGGTTTGTGAGGTTTTCCACTAACTCAAGACTTGCAACTGAAGTAAAGATCACCAAGCTGGGAGATAACTGGATTGTGGTCTGGAAGTACCTATTATCAGTAATAGTTTGGGGAGATGTTTTTCCTTCCTAGTAGGAGGCAAAGGTATTTAAGAACGTCTTTCAGCGCAGTGGATGGAAGCTGAAGGCCAGAAATGGGGTGTACATTTTGAGTACTGAATTTAGCAGCTGATAACCGCTGAAGTAGGCTGCCAAGGAACACAGCAGTTTCCCTTTCGTATCTTTGAACCATGACAGCATATTTAACAGTTATCTAACTCATAGGCTGTGGGCTTATTACAGAGGTTGTGGGGGTTGGTCTTGGACTTAAGCTATGCTCATCGGTCTAGGTCAATGTCATTGTTCTGTGGGACCTTCAGATTATGAGAATTCATAAATTTGGGGAGATGAAGAAGAGAAACTAGGGAAAAATGCAAACCAGGACGAGGGAAAGGGCTCATTGAGAGAAGGGGAGTGTGATCTCATCGGAAAAGGACAGATAAAACTGGAGTGAATAGGATAATTCCATTAGGGAATGAAGGAAAGTGATCCTGTTAGAGAGTTGTGCCAACTGGGCAAGTGCATTATCAGGAGAGCAGCTGACTACTGACAGTGGGGTGATGCTGTCCTCAAATGAAAGTTCATGGTTGCAGTGAACTCCAAGTCAGTAGTTGTTGAATAGATTTGGTTTTGTTCAGCATTGTTTGGGTTTTTTTTAACAAAAAGGAGTTAAAACCAGAAAGCCTGTGTTCCTGACCCCTAGCTGTTCTATAAATTTAAACTTGAAAGAAGTTGGATATATTTGTTCTTTTGCATCTACTTGAACAGAATATAAAAAAAAGAAAATGCCTTCAGTCATCGTGAAATGATTTTCACAGCAGGACAAGGGCATCTGGCAGTCAGTAGCCCAGACTGCAAAACTCCACGGCATCATTAGCTGAGAATCAAGTATCCGTTCCGCCTCACTCCCATTCATACATGTGGAAGAAAGGCAAGAGCTAGGCTGAAATAAATAAACAAAAATTGCTATTTGGTGGCTGCTGTGAAATTTATAGAGGGTCACCTTATCTACTGCTCTGCAGCTGTTTTCACCTCCTATTAGCCAGAAAGAAATATTATGCTGCGCTGGCAGAAGCTATCAATAGATAAGTGATGGTCTGAAGAATGGGCCTGAAGAACAACAAAATTATCTGTGTACTTCAGCAGTAGCTTACCATCTTACTGAGACCCTTGTAAGGAAGTTTTACATTGCTAGCTTCTGTTCATATTACAGTCTCCCCATATAGAAAACTCCATTTGTAAACACAGCTTCTTTCACAACAGAATTTGTCATTTTTAAGAAAAAAGCAGCCCGAACCCCATACTGTAAAAGTGTGATGTTTCTTCAGCACACTGCTGCATCAAGCTAGTAAATCAGGGAGCTGCCTACAGCTCCACAGCTTCTGCAGACTATGGAAAATTCTGTCCCACTGTGACAAAAAGAAAGGGAAATCAATATTTAATCTCCTGTAGCATCCTTTCTAATAACACTATAGAACCCCCAAAGTTACAGGGAAGTTAACTGCTTTGCAAAAATTACTTGTTCTCCTGGTCTTTTGCTGCAGTGATCAAGTGGGTGGTAAGCCCATGCTACATTAGAGGGACACATCTACAACTGTATGTCGCGGCAGTTTTTCTTCCCTCAGCCCTGCTTTTCTCTCCCATCCTCGCATCCTTCTTTTTGGCAGGACTCTCTGGTAACATTATTCCCAAAAAACAACCCCTCTCAGCAGCTGTTTTAAAAAATGTCTGCATGTTGAACTGCCTTCTTGCTGCTCGATTTAGAGAGTATCAAAAATTCAGATCTTATGGCTGCTTTAAACAGATAATACTGGCCTTTATGTTTGGAATCTCATTAAGAACCAGCTTGTAAGTGGATAGCGTGAAAGTGCAATCTTGTGCCTTCCACAGCGGGAAGGGATTATCAAAGGACAGAAGCTGGAATTCAACAATGGATCTCTACTAGTGGTATGAGAGGAGCTGCGGAGGACAACTCCCCTTTCTGCTCCCTGCTCTCAGCTGAACTCTTGGGCTGCCCCACACATAGAAGCCTCTGTTCTTGTAGGCAACAGAATTTAAAACAGAAGAAAAAGAAACCTTAGGAGCAAACCTGTGCCATCCTGCCTACAAGCCATCTAATGCTCAGTTTAATTTAATTCACTGGTGTGTTAGCTTTGTACCCTGCGGGTTCCCTGGAAGTACAAGCAGACACAGGGAGACCCTGTCCCCAGGACAGTAAAATTTTGTGGTGCTACCATGAGAGGATTATTGGAGGATGACAAAAAGCCAGTGAGCAAAATTGCATGGAGGTATAGGTCAACCTTCAGTTACGCCTGTGTGTCCACAGAGCTAAAACACAGCTTAAATAACCAGATGTTGCATAAATTTCACCCCAGTGAAGATCATTGAGGCTCTGCCTGACCACGAGGTAACCTTGAGAGAGAGAATCCTATTCTGCTGTTGCTGTGGCTTACTCTCAGCATCCACTGAGGCTGACTCTTCCTTCCTCACAGCTCCTACCTTTACCTGCTTGGGCACTGTTTGCTGCTGAAAGGCCTTTCTTTGCTTTCTTCAAGGAAAAGGCAGCCAGTAGTTTGTTTACAATCACATCCTATAGCTGTCCCCACTGCTTCCTATCAAACAGCACTGCCATAAACCAAGTACAGCTTCACCCTGGCAACCTGGGGCTGAGCAGAGTCAGTCTCACCCCTCCTGGTGTCCGTTTGTTCATCCCTTCCATGCCTGAAAAGCCTGCTGGAGAAATCAACCTGCAAGGAGGAAAAAACCCAAACCTGTGGCACCCTTGAGCCATCAAACCAAGAGGCATGCATAGCCTCCTAGCACAGGAGCTGATACTTACAGGTATGTCTGCTTGAACAAAAGGTTGGTGGGTTTTTCATTGACATGGTAGAGAGGAAATGGATCAAATCCACCAATGAAATCAACTGAAAAAAAATCAAAACTCAAATAAACAAACAAACATGGCCAGAAAGGTGAAAGGAAAGGAAAGAAAAAGTTGGTGCATGTCATGGCATAACACAAAAATAAGGGAGAGAACAGAAAAATGATTTTTTTCAGGTATGGATTGCCTAGCGGAAATCTTCTGCCTGTACAGACTTGTTTTCCGGGATCTCCTGGGATGGGCAAGTGTGCCAAAAAGGAGATTCAGCTATTAGCAGATATAAAGCAGAGCTAACAAAAAACTTGAGCAAAACAAGAGGGCCTCCCTCAGCCTCCTCGGATATTGCCACCATGCTGTGACTTCACATGAGAACTGAGCTTCAGCTTCGGCCGTTCAGCGATGTGCTGAAGGAAGGAAGCTGGGGAATGGCTCGTGAGTGAATGCCAGCGGAGGAGTTGGCAGCACAGCAACCCCCATGAAGGTTATATAGTGAAGTAGAAATTTTCTTGTCTTTCCTGCAAGACAGACAACAGCAGCTTTGGAAAACTGCAAATACCTCATTCTCTTCAGCTCTGATATTTTTCACGCCCCCTCTGCCAACTCAATTTCTTTTAATTGTATACAAATAGGAACAATGCCTCCCTTCTGCGGTATTCACGTAAGGGCAGTGTATCTAAACAAGGGGAGTTTTAAGTGACAATTCCCTTAGCAACCATCAGAGAATTTTCCAAGTCTCTCTTAGTTCCCCTGAAATGAGGCCAAGTCTATATTCCTGAGCTGGCCAACAGAGCCAGGTCAGTAGGGGTGTGATGCGGTGTGATTTGTGACTGACTGAGCAGGCCTTGCAAAAACCGTTAAAATAGATCCAGCTTAGAGCGCTTTTCGGTGCCAAGTTAGTGCGTTTTGTTTGAAACTGTGAAAGCCATCCTGTCCAAATGCCATTTAAAAATAACTGGAGAGTCTCATTAACTATATAAACGCCTGTTCATTTTTCCTTCCTGAAGGTGGCACTATTATTTTAAATGTTACCTAAAGAGTTTTGTTATTTTTTAGTGAAAAAACACAATAGAAAAAAATGTTTACTAAATATATTGGAAGTGAAAAAACCCCTCCTCTTAACATATATTTAGAAACCCAAGGAGGATATATTCTCACAAATTCCATCTTGATGGATAGCTTTGTGCTGATACTGTGATTTTGGAAGAACTGTCAGTTAATGGGTGAAATCTATAGAGGTTCTAAGTTAATAGGGGGATAATTCCCAGTAGTTCCAGTGAGACTTGACCTTTTCTCAGCCAATTTTGAAAATGTTTGAGTATTTTAAAATCAAGACAGTCTTCAGTTTAAAAAAACCCAGATACTAACTATATTACCTCAGTTGTGGGATGTCTAAATTAGGAATCCTTAAAGAATTGAAATTTTCAGTAACTGCCTAGTACCTTGAACAAACAGAAGTGCTATCATCTGAGCACCCGACCATGGAAGCACTCAAAATCCAAGTCACTTAAAAAATTCTTAACTGTGGTTCATTGCTGCAATAGATTACAGTGAATTAGCACATGTAAAATATTCTTGCCCACAATTCAGCATTAGTAGATCCCTACTGCTGTGTTTTCTCATGAAAATCACGTTAGCATGAGCTTCCTGATTAATGTGCCGCAGCACTTATAATTACTTCTTGCTGCATATCAAAGCAACATTTAAAGGAAACCACAAATGGAAGAGAAAATTAAAACGCAGCTCAAATTTGTTCGGGTCGCTGAAAGGATCTATCACCGTGAGTGTGAAATATTGATGGTTTGTCATTGTTAATTATTCAAGCTGGCATTTTAACTCCAAGCTGGGAAACTGGGAGGAAAAAGGAATTAGTGTAAAAAAAAAAAAAAAAAAAAAACCAAAAAACAACCAAACCCAATCAAAACCGCATCCTGAAATTAACAGCTCTGTGTTTCTAGATAATTCTTCCTTCTATGTGGTTGCCTCTCCTAACAGATCCCTACCATAAAAATGAGCTCTGTCAAGTTATTACTTTACAATATTCAAAAGGGGCCTGAAACTCAAGTTATTTAGCTAATAGAAGAGCTATAGGATAATTCAAAAAATATTACTTATAATGTAGCACCTTCGCTAAGTGCACTGCCAAGCTCTAAAGGAGGGATGTATAGAGCCAGCAGGATGAATTCAGCCACACAGGAAGGAACAGAAAACATGAGGACAAGTCAGATAAGCAATGCATCTCATTTCTCTCCTAGGAAATCAACATTCTTCACATACTTTCAAATATTCAGTTCAAAGCTGTTGTTTTTCAGCCAACATCCATGCCAGCTGCTCTTCGAAACAACAAAGCTACTTGTGCAAACCTAAAGTCTTAAAGAAGTTGTACTTGGATATAATGCCTTTGGATCAGATCCTTACCTGGAGCAAACTGGCCTAGACCCAACAAAGAAATCAGACTTCACATTTATTTGAACCCTATGCATCCATTCTTTTGTCTCAAAGGAAGTTTTAGAAGGGCAAAGTAATCCAGGACCAGGTTTGGGTATCTGCATAGACCCCACAGACCCAAGTAATTCCTCTGAGTCTTTGCTTTTCTCTAACACATCGTAGTGAGTGCATGACACTTAAGAGATTTGTATACCAAACACAAATGAGTCAGCTCCTTCCTCCTCCTTGTAATTCAAACACAGTACTTCCTCTGCTTTTAAATTAAGTGGTCAGGTTGGTCCTTGGCAAGAAATCTCATGCTCTACTTCATCCTCAGCTTGTGGCATGCAATACTCAGCAGGTGGCCTACTTGAGTACTGGGCTGTATTCTTTCTTGTAGGTACTCTTAATTACAATGGTAATATTTCAGTAGCATTATTCTTAACCTGTATAAGCTCGAGAACAGAAGCAGCTGCTCGGTTTCTCTAAAGCTTAGTCTGAGTGAGAAGCCAAAACCAAGCTTTTTTGTGCTGAAAGCGTAGCAGAATTACCACATCTAACACAGTGACACAGGGGAAAAACCCCTCACGGTAAAACCAGCTGATCCTTGAAAGGTAGATAGTGCCAGATCACATAGATGGAGAGATGGAAAGAAGTCTGATGGCAACTGAGACCCGATAGACAAACATCTGAGAGAGAAATAAAATTTAATAGAACCTTTGCCAAGGGATCTGTCGATAGATACTTACAGCTGTCTTCTTCTTCTGTAAAAACACTAACAACATAACAGGCGTAGACAAAGCCCACCAGCTGGAAAACAGAGGAAAAAAAAATCATTTTAGCATCAATCTTGTGAGGCTGGTCAAAACCCACTTGGCACAACTTCAACAGCCAATATTTGCTCTCAGCTTGGCAGCATTACTGTAATGGTGGAGCCAAGTCGTATTTGCTGTAAGGCAGGGGGTGCAGGTGGAGGCTTTAAGGGAGGGCACTGCTGGGAGCATACTCAAAGTTCAAAACTTGCAAGACCCGTCCTCCCCTTCAGAGCAGCAGCCTGCTGTTGCTAGAATGATTGGGCTGGGGTTGTTGGCACTGAAACTGCCGTGCTAAGTTCACCCTCTGTGAGAGGCAGTGGGGGTGCAGGAGAGTGTCTTGCTTAACGTTTTAGACAGACAGCTACGGACAGGACAGAGACACAGACATCCAGGGGTAGGATTTATTAACAGAAGTCCAGGGCCAAGACTTCATCAGCTCTGTATTCCCGTCATAAGGGGTATGCAAGGGAAGAGAAATTACTTTGGTGCAGGAACTACCAAAGTAGTTTTTATGCAGATGAGATAGAAACTTAATTAACGATAAAAATGGTGATGTACTGGCAGCAATGTTCAGAGACGCTGAAATCTTTAGTAACTTAGGCTTGGAGATCTTTCATTGGAAAGAAATCCTAGTCTTACTCTAGCTCTACAATTTCTAAGGTTCTTTCTATCTTTGGAGAATAAACACTTCTGCGAGGACTAATCAAACATTGGGCCTGCGAAGTAAATGGGCCAGAGCACAGTGAGAAATAGGCAGGACGATAGCAGCAGTCTTAATTTGCAAATTGCATAGGTTAGCAGTAAATTGCCACCTCCTGGGAACCAGATAGAAGCAGGGAAGGAGCAGTAAAACAACAGGGCGCCTCTCAAATAACAGCCATCCTGGCGTGGTGTGGCCCTCATGTCAACCCATCGCTCAGAGCAGTCTTTAGAGCAGAAAACTAGAGTGAACATTAAAAAAAGCAATTTAAAGTAGCCTGGTGGGTCCATCCTTAGTCGGTAGTTTGTAGAAGCTCTAAAGCATCTGAACTGCCTCCTCCAGTTTCAGTAGCAACTTCTTACTCAGCCTGAATAGAGAAACAAACTTCTGGTACTATGGGAGTTCAGCATTCTAGATCCATCAGGGCTTTGTTTTGCTCTGCCTTCTTCCTGTTAATCAAATATCCTCTCCATCCTTCACTTTACATCTTTACATAACGCCCCACTTAGCGAGATCTTGGTTGACAGTAACTGTATTAGTAAAGTTATTGTGAGACATAATTGTTTTCCACTGTGAACTCAATTCTTTTGAATAAGAGTTAGACTGTAACATACAGTGACTCACTCTAAGGGAAGACAGAATGATGCATGGTAGGGCTTGAAAAGTAGAGTCCATTCATTTTTAATATGACAGAAAAATACATCACACCAGAAAACAAAAGGCAAGATAATGAGATTTCTACTGGGGAGTTAGAAGGCATTTGTGATCTCTCCAGCTCTCCCTGACAAAACACACCTCCTTGGAAGGAAATGGGATGTTTTTGTAGCATCACTAGACCTTGTATTTCCTTTACAATTTTCTATAATCGTCTGAAAGACAAGCCAGCTTTCCCCATTGCTCTTGAGTGAGCTGTATGGAAGCATGTCCCAAGACCTCAGGTAGCTCTAAGGACTCACTCATTCCCCTGCTCTGCATTTCTGAAACCAGGGCTGCTTCAATACTACGTTGGTCTGAGCTACAGCGGACTTCATGCAGAAAAAAAAATATTAAAAAATCCTTCCAGGTGTGATGCTAACCGTGAGGCCGCACGCAGTGGCCAATCTAATTTTACCTGCAGTTGCCTCTGAGTAGAACCATCGCTTTTTAGGGGCAGACAAAAACCAACCAAACAAAAAAATCAGGACAATCCCAGATTTTTCTTCTCTTCTATTGCTTGTACTGTGCTAACGGAAAAGCCAGGGTGGTTTTTTTTCTTTCTGAAGCTGGGGGCAGGTTGGGGACAGGCTGGGGACAGGTTGGGTGGCCGGGTGGGAGGGCAGCGGCCCCAGAACCGGCCGTGGTGCTGACGCAGCCCCCGGGGGCCTCTGCTCGTTGCTTGCGTCATGAGCAGGCTTGACTGCGACGTCAGCAATTAGCGCCCAGCAGCGGGGCTGTGGGAGCCCACGGCCTCAACGCCTACGGGTGCTCTTGGGAAAACCAGGGCGCTTCAGCTTGAAGCCGTCGCAGCACGCCGGGAGATGTCCGCCCGCCCGCCTGCACGCACTGGTCTCCAACGTAAGCGCGTTGGCGCTCGCCCGAGGATCAAGTTAGGAGCGTGGTCACACACAGTCTTTGTACTTGCTCTAGTACTTTTATACGTTGAAGATCCAGCCTTTTATGTTTTACAGGATATAAGGTCATATCATGCAATTTACACGCACGCAAATATCCAAGCAGGAAAGATGCGTCTTGAATGTGATTCCAAGGGAACTCTAGGAAGGTTTTTTCTTTCCCCAGATTTTCCATCGTGCCTCAGAGTAGGGACTTGGGGGTTAACAGCCATGCAAAGTGGCAGCTCTAAATCCATTCACTGTTATTATACTCTATAACATGTACACACAAACCTTATGTGATAACTGTGTCAGGGAACTCCTGATGGTATTAATGATGAAAATCACTTACCTGCCCAGCTTATGGGCAGAGTGCACGAACGATTATCAGCTAGACTGTCACGGGGAACCTGTTAAACCTCTGAAAATTGTTCATGGTTCAGAAGCACCAAGCAAGCAGTAAGATTGACTTGGGAAATTTGTTTTGCACAGAAATTAATGCCTCATAATCCTCAACCATCATTCCTCTCACCTCGTATGTTTTTCCTGTTGTGACTAAGGTGACCTTTGCATTCAGAAAAACAAACAAACCAACCAAAAGCTAGTGAACTAAGTGAACTTCCCTAAATCTCTAATTCCAGCTCCATTGCAGTGGAGGGTTTTCTTTTTTATTTCTTCTGTCTCCTGGCTTCATTTCAAAATTACCTTCTTAGTGTTTAAGATTTACATTTATTGACTTCATAATCCATTCCTTCTTTACATGAGTTTCATCAATAAAAAATTGTTTATTTAACAGCACTTTGTATTCAAAGAAGTTTTGCTAGTCTTGTGGCCTGGCCAGAACAGGAGAGTTTCAGTGGCAAGAGACATACCACATAAACATGAATTGCATTTTTATATGAGCTGACCTAAACTGTAATTAAATATATCACCTCCGGGACAAAATGAACTTCAGGGACTCCCCGTGTCTCACCTTCTGCATGAATTATGAATGAAGAGGTCTCCGAGAGACACCAACGGTTCCCATCTGACTGCATCCTTGATGAAGATGTATCAAGCCCCCAACCATCACCAGCAATTAACACAGCACAGAAAGCTTCACAGAGGGCAAGAATGTGGAAGTAATTTCTGTCTTACTCAAAGTGCCATCTCTGTTGCTGATTTCAATACGCTCTACTATCCCAGGGAAATAGCAATAATTCTTACATCTTCACAAATTATGTAGGGGAGGTGGAAGAGTAGGGGAAATGTCAGTGATGTAAAATGACACTAAGCTATTGCTCTGATTCCCCAAAGAATGTTCTTGGGCTTTAGCCTCTGCTGCTGTTTCTCCACTTGTTCTGCGTGTTCAGTACCAGCTTCCTCCAGGCTGCAGAAGTATCCGATTAAGCTTTTTATTAGGAACACATGTTGTAGGCAGGTGTGTTCAGTCAGCCTGTCAGACAGCCTGGGAATGCACAGGCTGCCCAACAAAAAAGCATGGAGCTGGGATGTCCCAAGCATTCTGCAAGCAAATGAACAGAGCAGGAAAGACAAGAAGAGACAAGAGTGCCCAAAGGGAATGAGGAAGACGTAAGTCTGTACATCCCTCCGCCCCTCAGTCATCTGAAGTTAACTGTTAATAGCGAGTTGAAAAGCGTTCGTGAAACAGCAGCGTTGAGCTAAAGTGCTGGAGCCAGAAAGACTGAATTACAGCGAGATGTACAGAAAGGGACCAGCTGGCTGTGAGAGTGCAAAATACGTAAAGGATGGGGAGGCTTGTGCAAGATCTTAACTCTAGTCTGCATCTGGCCTGGTGAAGATTCTGGCCTCGTCAACTCTTGTCTCAATAGAAAAACTCACCATTGTTTTTTCCGCCACAAATATGTGCAGTCTCCTCCTTCAGGGCAGATGTAGTCTAGGTTTCACTGCTAATCAGAGCTGATGAAGTGTGTATGCTCTCATCAGTGCAAGAGGGGGAAAATGAAGAGGTCTCTGCTACAAGAAAGCCAAAAGCCAGCTTGTGAAAGAGCTGTTGTGACCAGATAGCCAAAAAGAGGCCATCAAAATCCTTTGATTCCTTGACCTTCTTTACTCTTTGGATGCAATTACGACCACTGAAAATCTAGCTCCTGCCAAGAGCAAAGCATCTCTTGTGCGTTGCTTCTCACATAACATCTGCTGTCAAGGCTTGCATTGCCGCCTTCCTGGGAACCTTCCAGCCTGTCAGTCTGAGTGAAAACAGCAGACAGGCAGGCAGTGAGCTCTCTCAGTTGGGAAGACATTTCCAATTTCCATCCCATTCAATGGAGCCTCAGGAAAAGCCTAACCCTCTCCACGCCCAGAACTACCATATGGACAGCCCAGAGCTATGCCAGGTATTTCAGAACTAGTTAAATCACTCCTCTCCTTGCTGGCTAGCAAGTTGGGGAGATGCAAGATTAATCCTTGCTAAGATAAAAACAAAGCAGATTTCTTTTCTTGGCAAACTAGTTGCTGTTGCATTTCTTTATTGGGTCAGTAGGATTAGTTTTACAGTGATAGTTCTATGTTGGTGTAGACCTTAAGATATTGTTACAATGAGCTTTTTCCTCCAATGTGTTCTGTGCTAAAGCATTGGGAAAGATTTTTGTGCTGAGCCCTACAGCTACTTGTGTCATGCATGGTGACTGATATGTCCAAGTTTGATTGCGTTCCAGATTAAAGGAGTTGCTTTTGCCTTCAAGGAGTACAGACAAGCTCTGAGCAAAAGCAGACTGAGGCCTTATGTATCTTCAAATGCGTGGCCAGGAGCAGGATAATATAGTCAGCAGGAGTCAAGAGGACAGCCAAGGCTGTGCTCACCATATGGGTTCCGGTTTGCTCTCCCTCTCCTTTGGCATGCAAGATCGAATTCGGTGAGCCTTACCCCAAGTGCACGATACAATGCTCTACAGCCCCTCAATAGCCTCAAGGAATTCCTGGTATTGCCAGGAAACAACCAAAATGTCCACAGCTGGGTACTGCGTAGTTAAAGAACACGGATTTCACGCCGCCATATCTGGAATTAAAGAAAACCCCACCAAACACAGCCCCCACCCCACCCTACAGCTTCTAAAAACTATTAAGCAAAGCAAAAAACTACAGAAAGCACAATTTTGCTTGTCCCTTGCCCTTCTTTACAGGGAACTGGCTATTTCAGTCTCAAATGTGTGGCAGACAAGGAGGGAACTAGGTCACGTCCCTTGCTGCATCCTTTGAGCCTTCAAGTTCCCAGTCATGTTTTTTGCACTATCGATCCGGTCTCCCTGCCTGTCTGCAGCACAGTACCTGCCAGGCGCTCTGGGAAGGACAGCAGCCTGTAATAAAATCTGCCTTAAAATGAGATAAAGAGAACAGAAAAAGATACTGGCAGGGATCAAAGAGTTTGACCCTCAGAGACTAAAAAGGGAGAACTGGCTGGCTGTTTTGAGGCAAGATCTGAATGAGAGTGAAAAGGCTTGCTTTCTGCCTTACCTCGGGAAAGCAGAGAGGAAAAGCTCTGTTTGTCTCACTACATGACAAAATTATATGAGCAGTTCAGAGCTGGCAGGAGTCACAGGCTTGGGGCTTCAACACTCTACCTTTGTTATAGGACAAACAGGAATTTACTTCACTCTGCATAGCTTAGCCCATACGGCTTTTTTGCATACCAGTATTTTAGCCTCGTTTCCAGAGTTTAGGATTCAAAAATCCACCGCAACTTAAATCTCTCCTCAGAAGGAGAAAAAAAATACTCTACCTAAATGCTATTTTATCTTATAGTTCCCTCCTCTGTCTCCCTATCTCCCTTTTGGGGAGAAGCAAAGAAGGAAACACTCCCAGAGACACAGGCTCCTATATATCGGTGTGATCACTTAGCTCAGGGCCGTGTGCCTAAATTAAAAAGCTGCCATAAACCAAAAGCCTATTCCAAACAAACTCAGGACCATTTGTTGGCTGAACTTCTAACCTGGGGCACGGGGGCTTGTGCCAGCCCAGGCGTTAGGAAGGACGCTAACAGTGACATACTCCTGCACTTTAAAAGTCTGGGATGTTCTGACTTCAAAGCCTGTCAGTTGTTTCACCAAACTCGGGAACAGCACCGTCTCAGCAGCATCAATCCTGTTCCAGCTAACGGCCCTTTCTAAAAGACAACAGGCTCTATTCTTCTGGGTACGTAGGTTTGCCTCACACACAGGCATTGAAGCAACTCTCAGACAGTTTAATGCAGATCATTGTCCCTGAAGGAGAACAAACCAAATATTAACAGCCAGCACACACGCCAGGGAGTCCATCCAGCTCAGGAAACAGGAGCTTCTCTGTCTTCCTCTTTTTTGTGACATGGCAAGAAAGGGGTCTGAGTCTTCCCCCCTCCCTGCAGTTCACTGGGTCACACAGATCATCCCAGCTAATAGGAAATGCAGGATCAAGACAGTGGAAAGTTGTACCGAAAACGTGCAGAGAAGTACTTGGCACTCCAGAAGCTTGGAATTTCTCTATTTGTTATCCTTTAGCATTTAATCAGGGCAAGTTACCCTTCTTTAAGCCAAAACTGAAAGCTGAAATGTGAATGCTTCACCAGTCCACGTCCATTGGTGCTTAAAGCCATTAACCAGTAAGTAACCAAAGCAGATTAGGAAGATGCAGGCTGCTAACTCTAATGCAGCCCCAAAATACAAGTGTAAAAACGAACTAACGGGGAAAATGGACATTTTGTTTCAGTTAATTTCACAGACAATTGAGAAACAATGAATTGACAGTGAACTTTAAGGACATTGCATTACTGCAGAGTACTTTAAAAGGCCTGTGGAAGACTCCAGTGAGGAAAGAGTTGATGAAAACATCTAATGCATGTATCTGAGGTGTCAGCAGAAATAAAATATGCTGCTTTCTGCTTCCTTAAAGTTTCTTTCATTTTCTGGAGATAAGGATCTTCTCCCTTTTATTTCTTCACAGCAAGCATGCATGTGTGCTCCACCACCCATCACTAAGTCACGTGGAATAAGAGAAATCCTTCTTCAGAACAGAACAGAGAGAACAAACAAACGAACCATTTACAGAGACTTTTGCAATCAGATGATACAAAGTAGGGTGGAAAATATGGGCCAGTCTCTGTGCCTGGAAAAAAATAAACCCAAACAGCATCTTCTCAACAATTGCTACCCCGCAGCACTCTCAGCGATGTACTCACCGCAATCAGGATCTGGAAGGAGCTGTGCATGACCTCGATGTACCGATACTCCAGGGCACAGCCTATCACAGAGATGTAGGAATGGCTATCCAGCCCTTTGATGCCAGACATTGAAGCCTCCTTTCTCACACAGCCAGGACCATTTTCACTCCACCATGACTGGTGCCGGGAGATGTTGAATGTCAAGAGTTCACTGTCCTAAAGGGAAAAGTTGCCAAGAGATCTCCATTTACTGTAAGAGCATCTGATATGCTGTCAGATGGAGGTCATATTAAAACCAATGGAAAACCTAAGGTTTCTAAGATCCCCACCCTCGAGAAATGAAAGCACAGCTCAAAATACATTGGCTTTATGTTCCTTGTAAGTATTTCACAGGCAGGTTTCTGTGGTGGGAACCGTTTCAGAGGCAGTCCTGCAGCACTCCCACAAAGCTATTTCACCATCACGTAGCACACTTCAGATGCAGGACTGAGCAGCTTCTAAATCAGAAGGATTTAGTTTCTAGGCTGCAGACCCAAGACGCTTTGTTAGTGGTTCCTGCACCCAGGAAAAACCCCTCAAGTTTTGGGTTTGGGAGATTAACCTTGTAAGTCTAGAAGAAAAAGGTAAACAAGGCAGCACTAAGCATCCTGTCATCATCATGTGCTATGGGTATGGTCTTCCCAGCACGGAACTCAACACCGAGAACTGAGAAATATGAACTTTGTAACCCTAAAGTGAGTTTCAAAACCCAACAGATCTTCCTCTGTCCCTAGCTTTTAACACATCTAACAAGTTCCCTTACCATTTCTGTCCGATTTCCTTCCACACTCTTCACATATGGCGCTTCTGTGTTTTCTGTTGACCTGACACAGCGAGCCTCAGGTCAGATTACCCAACTGAGCCGACCTCAGGGCGATGATTGCAGCTTCTTGCAAACACTTCCCCAGCAATTCCTTATTATCTCTACTGTTAGAGAGGCTTTTTGTTTTGCTCTTCTCCTCTTTGCTAGTTCAATAATTTAAACCCTGCATTCACCACAGGGGAACGCCACACAAGTAGTGCAGGAGTTTGGTGTGCAACCAGGTGCTCATTTGAAAATGGCAATGCTTCTCTCATACTTGAGGAAAGGGTGGTACTCACTGGAGTACCCAGGAGAGCTTTGGGATTTTGAGCTTACAGGACATGGCAAAGCCCTCCCTGCAGAGAGTAAAAGACAAACTCAAACTTGGCTGAACAGATCATCTGCATTACTTCACAGATGAGCTCTACGTGCTGGATGCCCCAGCAGCCCTCTTGGGTCATTTTGATGTGGAATCAACAACCCCTTTTGACCACAACACAGGGAAAGGTGTTGGAAGTTTTATTCTGACAGATAAGATTATAAAAGAGATCAGAGAATCTGTGTCTACAAGGTAGAAATATGTACTGGACATAACACCCCACTGAAGCATTACTGAAGTTTTAGCATCTGTCCATATACTGCTCCACACTGCTCATGCCAGCGTCCTACACAGTGCCTTTAGTAAAGAAGTGGCTCCTACAACAGCAGCAGTCAGAGCTTGGGGTATTCACACTTCCTAACACGGGAAACCTCACGTGGCAGCTCCTTTGCCTCAGCTCCCTGTAGAGTCAAGAGGGAACAACAGATTCAGAGCAGCTAATCCAGGCTCCTGCTCCGAAGTACCCTCTGGAGAGAGGACTTGTCTCCACTGCCAATACAGGGAGCCTAGCCAGGTAGTCCTGCAGACACACTTTTCTGTGTCCACGTTTGTATCTAGGGGCAAACGTGAGTTACAGGAGCAGAAAAGTTGAACGACAGCCCGATAACCTGTGACTAGAGACCAAGCGCCCCTCTATGCACATCGTGTAGGTACCCTCCACTGCACCACAGGTACTCAAAAACAGTTTGCAGAGCGGTTACTAAAATCTGCTGCAGGAAGCACATGTTAAGAAATGTGGACAATTAAGTGAGAAGACAGCTGCCAAACTCCTGACATAATCACCACGACAGATGGGACATGTTTTACAGAAGAAGGAGGAGGGCACAGAGATGAAGTATGGCATCAGTGCAAGAGCAGCCTGAATAGCAAAGACAATAAGGAAAACTCTATTAACAGTTGGGAGTTTAAAGGGAGCTGTCTGCATTTTAAAGGCTATGGGTAATAATTATTAGCTTGGCAGCTACAGGATAATGCACACAGTGCAAGGTGCTGTGCTATCTACATTTCTAGAGACAGTTTTCCAGCTTCTCACAATTTTGGCAGAGGAGTCTTTGGCTTGCTCCCTCTGCTGGGCGTTGATCTTCAGTGGCCCACAAACATCTCACATATCCACCAAATTGCATCTTTTCTGAAAAGCTTGTTCTTTCTCTCCCAACTTTGCGTGTTCCGAGACACACGGATCTTCCTCAGCTGAAGCTTTTCCTCCTGGAGATGCCAGCCCTCCAAGCTGCTGTGCTCTTCTCCCTCTCACAAGCTACTCACTACTTTGGTTTGGGAAGGAAAGAATCATCTTTCTCAAAAAAGAAAAAAAAGGTCTCAGTTCCTGTTTCTTTGCCTGGGGCTTCCCTCAATTAGCACAGAAACAAAGCTGTTCCACAGGGCACCGCAGGATCTACTCTCAACCTCGGTCCCCAGGGCTTCCCTCTCCCAGCTCACAGATGGTGCCTTCCCAAACCTTCTGCCTCCCTGATGCAAAGAGCCCCTTCAGTGCCTTCTCCACTCCTTACAGAGGCATCTATGTGTATTTGGCAAAGCAAAGAAACAGACTGCTTCCCTTCCTTCTTGAATCTCCCTTTTGTCAGTCCTTATAGAATTGGCTCTGGCTTAACTTCGCTGCAGAAGCTGAACTTGCTTGTGAATTAAGCCTGAAAAAGCAGAAATGGTGCTGGGCTGGAGGTGGGCAGGTGGAGGAAAAGTAGGTCCTAACCAGCACTCACTGCTTTTTGCCTATAATCCTGCTCCAGCTCTGGGGAAAAAAAATAAAATAAAATTATACTTCTGTTAAGAACAGATTGGAAAAACTGAGCACATTTGGATTCTAAAAGCACCACCTCGACTTGCACACACGAGCCATCCATCTCACAGATATAAAACGAATACTGATTGCACACTGGGATTGCAGGTGCCCTCACGTTCACAGAGACACCTTTCTGAACAAGCCTCCGTCTGGAGCACTGCGGGGCACGAGGGCGGCATGACTGAAAGGGTTTCAACATGCAAAGCAATGCCGTTCCTTTGCCTTTGTCCCTGGCTGGGATGTCCTCCGAGGATACCTGCGCTGATGGGGCACAATAAAAGAGCATTCAGGAAAGTCACTTGATTGACCTCCAGTTGCTCAGCGCTTGCTGGGAGACTGGGAAAACAATCCCAGGGTGTGTCCTGCAGTTTGCCAGCTTTGTTTGGTTGAGGAGAAGTGAAACGATGAAATAGGAACTGCACACTAAAATCAGGAGAAAAGAACCAGTTGCAAGAAAGTTCAGGGAACAGCTGTTTCCCAAAACCTTTCTGCAATAAATTTGAAGTCTAAACACACTGAAATATTCCCCAAAGTGGAATGCAGGTTGTGAGATGTTAATCAGTCCCAGAAGTGAGCAAGCCCTGCTGTAGGGAGAGAGTGATCTCTGTGTAACTGCACTCCCCCTCGTTTCTTGACAGGCTGCTATTTGAAGGGCTATCGCTTCCTCTTTAACCTTCAGCCTGAACAGAAATACGAGCGAAGAGTGATACAAGCTCCTTCTGGGGAGCACGTTGAAGGCCAGCCAGAAAAATCACATATCACTCTGAACTGTTGTAGCACTTGGTTGCCATCCATTTGCCATCAGTGTGAGAAGGAAGACGACAGCACTAAACCCATAGTACCTACTTTGTACAGAGTCTATTTTCTGCTCCCAGCCTCACCCCACTGTGTCCCACGGGGAAACTCACACCTACCTCTGACACCCACAGAGCCAGCTGTGTTCCTTTTCTAAAAGAGTTTGCTGAAAGCTGTTCTGAAATGATTTTGTAAGGGACACTATCAGGGATGGTTTCATTTCTTGTTAACAGCCTTCTGAACTGCCTCCCAAAGTTCCTTAATTATCAGGCAAGCCAGTACTTCCAATGGCTCTGGAAACAAAATGAACCCTGTATGGGAGACCCCAGAGCTTGACAGCAGAATAATTTTAAATCCTTTCAGTTGGAAACATTTCTTATCAAAATAGGAAATAGAATGTTTGTCTTTTGGTCATGTGGGCTGAATAGCTGCATCGCCCTGTGACAACAGAGAAGCACTTCCATTGTCTCTCAGCAGGTTTGTTGACAATGCCACAGCATTTAAAGGCCAAATCCCAGGCCTCCAGTTTCTAAATTTAGATGGAGTTGAGGGACAGTTGTAATTAGGCATGCATTTATCCATCCTCCTTACAGTATTTTCTCCAGGTACAAAGTCATCCCAAGATGCCATCCAGATTCTCTGGAGTACAAATAACCCCCTATTCCACTAATAAGGGCTGCTTCCATTTCAAGAGGAGATTTACACCATGGCTCTGGATTCAGATCAAAGCACTGGGTAGACAAGAAAGAATATAAAGGGTAAAAAAAAATTCACCATTCCAAGACGAATAATTCCAGAGGGAAAAGACAAAGGAATACATTGAAGTACACACCACCAGTTCCTCAGACCTCTCTGAACTTCTCTCAAGTACACGATGAGCAGTCAATCGGCATGGCAGCTGGACAGACAGTTGCTCATGTGTCTTAACAGCAGGATTTTAATAATTAACTCAGACCAGGGGGTTGCAGGAGGGGCTGTGTTTCATACTCAAGTAGACAGGGAGAAGCTTAACATGTTATTTCAAGCACAGCCTGCAAACTTCAGAGATAGCTCCCAGCAAGTCACCTAACCAAAGGGCCAGATGGACAATGAGAAAAGAGAGAGATGGAACAGGAACAGACCAGAGGAGGAGGAACAGCAATCTGGAAGTTCAGCTGTGAGCCCCACCACAGAGCAGTGGTACAGCGCTTTCGGAGAGGCTGCATTTCCCCCAGATGCTGCAAGTGTGCTCGGAAGTATGAGCAGAGCAAGTCAGCGCTGCCAAAAGCCGCTCAGAGGCACATCACCATCTCACTGCCAATGCTGAGAAGCAACCCTTCAAATCCAGATTGCTGAATCTCTTGCCTGCTCATTGGCAAAGCGCTTACTTCCAGGAAAGCTGGCATGGGCTACACGCTTA